TGGGGTACAGGAGTTGGGGGTACCCTGAGGCCTGGCCTCCAGGATGAAACAGGGTAATGCTGAGAGGGCCAGGCCTCCCACTGCCCTGCCTGCCACCCCGCACTGGACAGATGGGGGAGGGGACCCTCAGTGACTGCCCACACTGGGAACTGGGAGAGTCCACCAGGCCCCCAGGGTGGCACATCCCACCCCAGAGGACTTTGCTGACCCAGCCTGGGTGAGACCCCAATCGCACACACCCCTCTGGGGTCCAGGTGCGAGTTCCCTCCTTGCTGCCCCCACCACGCTCTCCCAGTGTGGACCCAGCGCACGCTCGGGTCACAAAAAGGAGCTCGGCTCTGGGAGCGTGGGCCGTGTCCAGGAAGGGCCGTGGACGGTGAGGAGGTGCTTGCCGAGCCCCTCTCTGCGCCTGGCACCCATGGGCGGCACCATCTCTGTGGGTGACGAAAAGCTCGCCCAGAAAAGTGCAGCAGCCTGTTCAGGGTGAGCTCAGGGAAAACAGTGTGTCCACCAGGCGCCATGATGCTGGCCTGGCCCAAGGCCGTCCAGCACCCCGCGAGGCCGGAGCTGTCCCCTGTACCCACCTCGTCTCCCTGGGGTGCCGGAGGCAGGGGCTGGAGCCTCCCTGCGGGCATGCGGGTCGCAGCCCTCCTAGGTGAGTGCTGTTTCGACTCTCAGGACAGTCCGAGCCCCTGACCAGTCACTCAGCGGCTACAGCCACGCGAGGGCAGCACGGGGAGGAAAGGACGTCTCCTGGCCAGGGCTAGCGCGCCAGAGCACAAGCCCAGATCCTCGTACCGCCAGCCTGCCCACTCCCGTGCCCAGTGAGCTCCGTGGCTTTCTCGGCTCTGGCCTGCACGACGAGGCATCTTGCTGGTTGTCTCTGCACCGTCCTCTCTTCCCACGCTCGGTAGATCAGACTCCCAGGCCCAGGAGCACGGTCAGTAGTTCCTGGGCAGGGGCCAGGAACTAGCATGTAACGGTCCGATGCCAGTGACCAGTGGGGCCAGTTGAGTGGTTTCCTGGTTACTTTGCAAATGTGTGCGTGAGCGTCTGCGTGCTCTGTGTGCTTGTGTGTACATGCTTGTGCTGGGGGTTTTGTTACGGAGGGTCAGTTCACACGTCAACATTGGTGCGCTCTGTCTGTGTGAAGTGAGATTTCAAGAGAGTTTTGGCTCTCTATGTCTGTACAGTTTTATTTTGTTTTTTTATAACGAGCTTATATTTTTTACAAACAAAGCCATCCAGCCTTTCTCCTCCAAAGCAGGGAAGGGCAGGACTATTTATTATAGAGGGAACATTCCGGAGGTGAGCAGGAATGTGGACAAGGACAAGGATCTAGTTTACCTCCCCGGGGTCCGGCCCTGCTTTCTGGGGGCTCCCCACTCTTGAGCTGGCACCCGTGGCCTGGAGAGGGAGGAAAGTCCTCCCTCACTTTTTCATATGGCCCGTCTTGGCAAAGCCAGAGCCACAGTCACAGCTGGGAGTCTGGGCGGGGGAGCCAGGCCACGAGGCTGAGCCTCCCGTTCTATCTGTCCCCCTCCCTGGAGCTCCGGGCCTGCGAGCCCCCCTCAACCCTGCCCGGCATGCAGGCACCCTGGCCAGCCAGGCCACGCGGGGATGGTGATTTTACAGCACTGTTATTACTCTATTGTTGCCCTGTAAACCCATACCCGGCCCCACAAACACTCAGCGAGAAGGCCAGACCCTGCCAGAGAAAGGGTTTCCTATACCTTTACAACGTGAGAGGCGCAGTAGGAAAAAAGGGGCCTTTGGATTTATGGAAACTATATAAAGTTTATGGAGTCTTGGCAGGCCAGAAGTAGAAGAGGCCTGTGGAGTGGGGGTGGGAGTATTTTCAAACAGAGAGGGCCACGGAGGAGCCTCAGCCCTTCACGGCGAGGCCTGCTCCCCCACGCCCACCCCCACCCCCTGTTCTGGGCACGTGTGGCCACAGGACCTGCGGGTGCCCCGTGGCACAGCCCTCGGATGGCTCTGGCAGTGGCTTCCGTGAGCCCTGGCTGCGTCCTCGCGAGAGAGGCGTGCTTATCCTCACGCTGCAGAGGGGCACCGAGGCAACGGTGTTTGGAAAATGATACGCGTGCCCAAGGTCACAGAGCTCGTGGCTCGGATGTGCTGGGCGGGCGAAGTCTCAGGCTCCTGTGTATTGGGCAGCATGCCCATTTTCGGGCTCCGTGCCCTGTTTCAGAGGGGGGCTCATCGGCTTCTTGTGGTTTAGTCTCACGGTCCCTTGCCCTCTTCCAGTTCGGTCTCAGTTCACCCGTGACCTTGGCTGGACTGGAAGCAGAGTTGTCCAGAAGGTGACTCTGGGTCAGGGCAGGAGACCCTCGTGTCCACTTCAGTGATGGGGTCCTCGGAGGGCCCCTGGAGGAATACCCCACTGGGTACCCACCCCTGCCAGCCCTGTTCATTTCTCCTTGCATGTGTGCCTGTGGCATCCGTATTCTCTCCCCTACTGGGCTGTGAATTCTAGAAGAGTGGAGTCCATGAAAGTTTAATTCTTCATAGCTGTTTTTGCCCTAGAGGGTCTGGCATGGGTCCTGAATAAATATTGGGTGGGTGGGTGGGTGGGTGGGAGGATGGGTGGATGGTGGATGGATGGATGGATGGATGGATGGATGGATGGTGGATGGCTGGGTAGATTCACAAAGGATGAACAGGCGGGTGAATTAGTGGATTAGTGGATGGACTGATGGGTGAGTGACTGGGAGGGATACATGAGATCAGAGATGATGAGCAGACACCCGCTTCCTCATCTGTACCCCAGTTACACTCACAGCCTGCAGGGTTCTCAGACTTCACTGAATGCACTTCTGTTTAAGGGGGGATACTTTGGTCTCTCTCAAGTCATATGGAGAAACCGGCCTGAGTGTTTGAATATGTGTGTAAATACTTTACAATCCCCATAAACTTGTTTAAAGACAGATGGAGGTGAAAGTATAAACTGGGGTAGCCTTTGGGGAGGGCACTTTGGAAGTAGCTATTAAAATCTTAAGCGTGCCTACCACTAAGACCCAGCAGTTCCACTCTGAGTTGTCAAGCTAAGAGTAAACACTCGTCAGTGTGCATGTAGAGCCTCGTGGGCAGACTGGGCTGCTCGAGACAGGGCGGTCCGTAAGGGGTCCGCCTGCAGGGGACAGCAAAGGAATATGAATACCGCCCTTGGGAACAGCGACAGAGCTAGAAACTCCCATCTTCTAGAAGACCCCAAACAGCTATGGTCCTGGCCTCTGCAAGTGCCCCGCCTTCCTGCTTCATAGCTGTCTTCTTTTCCTTTCTCCCTCCTCTCCCCACCCACGAAACACAGTTTACTGGAATTAGGTCTTTAATCCTTCGGCCTGCTTGCCAGTGACCTTCCCTTACAGAAAAGGAACAAAACGAGAGAAATGTGGTCATGTGCGTCATTACTGTCTGCCGAGTCTTCAATTAAAAGAGATTGAGAGGCACAATATTAAAATTTGATTTATGGACCCCACTATCTACCTAATAATGAGGCTGAAGGGGAAAAGAACCACAGTCGTTCCAGAAAGCCGGAGCCTTTCTTTCTCCCCCAGGAGATAAATTGCCTCTCATGTTTGTTTTGCTCAAGAAATGTGAAATGGTTTTAAGTGGATGTGCTATGTTCTTCCAGCATGCTGAAATCCAGAACTCAGCCATTTGGGAGTCATATGCTTCCGACTTGTCAAGGAAGCTTCCCGAGAGCTGAGGCAGCTGGCAGCTTTGGGGGACTGCCACCGCCGGCTTCACCCAGCACCCCGACCCATCATGGGCACCGCGACCTGTGATGGAATCTCCTTCCCGGTCTAGGACACGCCACGGGCCCGGGAGGGAGTGCAGACCGCACGGGCTGCAGGGTGGCGGACAGGCCCAAGTCCCAGCCTTGCTGCTGAGGACGATCGGCATGACCTTCTCGCTGTGGGACCTTGGGGCAGGAGGCTGTGGCCAGCCACACGGCCAGCGCTGGGTGCGCGTTGTGTCGGTCATTATGTGACACAGACACCTTGGCCGTCATGGGCAGAGCTGGAATTTGAACGCCCGTCTTCCCATTCCCTGGCTGCTGCCTGATGTGGCGGACAGATCTGCGGGTCGCCCGGCTCTGCCTCTCTTCAGCGGGTGCCTGGGGCAGGCGGTGTTCCTTTTCTGCACCCCATTTTGTTCATCTTCAGAATAATTCTTTCTGGGAGGTTGTCAGATTTAAAAAGAATGGAAAGAAATTGTCCAGAATGCAGTCAGCGCTTGGTGGCCGGCAGTGACTGTGAGCGAGGGGAGCTCTTTTCTAAGAACCTCGTTTGGAACTGCTGTCTGCTGGGAGAAGGGATGGGGTCTGGTTTATGTCCTCTAGGCTCATGGTGGCCTTGCAGCAGATTCCTGCAACAAGTACTCCCTGGCTTGTAAACACAGCAACTACAACAGAAATGAGCCGCCGTCGCGCCTGCACTGAGCGGGTCTCCAGGCTGCACTTTCCTGGCGGCCTCCTGGACGTGCTTCTGAGCGCCAGACCAGAGACAGGGCCAAGCGGTCGTTCAGGACGCAAAGCTGGGGGATGGCCGGGCTGAAAGTCGGGTCCAGGGCTGTCCAGCTCTTCCTGCCATGCTCGGGAATGTTCTAGACCTCCAGGCCGATTGCCCACCGCCGGCTGCCCCGGCTCCCTCCACCCCAGCTCCTGGTTGCCAGCAGTATCCCCAGGCTGCTGCACAGCACCATCACCTTGTGGTTTTCCTTTGTGTCTTCCTGCCCCTGCGTCTTCAGCTGGAGCTTCAGCTGTTGTGCAAACATTTTGTTCTGTGTGCTTGAATCTGCGGGTATTTAATCTATTTGGGAGGCTCTGATGGGCTTAGTCTGGGCTGGAAAAGATGGATTCTAGATGCCACCCAACACTTTGCCACCTCCTGTGTGAAGGGGGGCCTGGGGCTCTGCCTGCCCTCTCTTTGGGAAGTGGAGAATGGGGGTGCCTGCATTTCTTTCTGCTCAGCTAACAGCATGCCCTTGTTTTCAGTTGAGAGGGAGATTGTACAGAAGAGGACCTTCACTCGATGGATAAATCTGCACCTGGAGAAGGTGAGTGGGGGCTGGGCCATTGGTGGGGGGCCAGGCCAGTGCAGGAGGGACCCCGGCGCTCTGCATTGTTTCAGTGGCTTTTCTTTCACTTACCTAAACACCTGCTGTGTGTGCTGCCAGTGCTGGGTGGTGCACACAGCTGGAAACACCTGGGAAGCTGGAGGAAGGCCCCGTTCTCTCCTCTTGGGCTGCCTGTCCTGCTGGGGAGGGAGAGGGTCTCTCGTTATAAAGGAAGCAATGAGCAAATGTTCAAGCACCATCATTGTCTCACAGCCCACTGTGGGTAGGAGGTGGTTGTCTACAGATTCAAATGCCGGGGTGGGAGCTGGCGGGCACAGAGGGTGGGACCTTGACTCCTGGTACCGGGTTCTCATTAAAAGCCCTTTGAGGGTGTTTGGATTGATTTTATGCAAAACCCGCGCCACCTTGTAGCCCAGTCATGTTCTGCTGTGTACCACACGACACCCCTATGGGTCAGTAAGCTTCTCCGCCCTTGATGCGTCAGGCCCCTGGCTTCATGGTCCCAGATCCCTGGAGCCCTGTGACAGCAACGCCCCTGGCTGGACATTGTTTCCAATGAGCAACAGCTTTCAAGAGACATGAAGTGCCTCTCCCGCCATCCCCCCGAGTGAGCTAGGTTCACCCCGCAACAGGTAGGCAGTGCTTCCCAGGGCTCAGTATTCAACTGAGAGGCCCCAGAAGCAGCCCCAGAAGCAGACCGCGGAGGAGAGCAGGATCCCAGCGGCAGATGCTCTGAACGCGTGTCCTCGCTCACCTGGCTGGCCCCTGGGCTTGGGCAGGAGAGGCTTTCTGGGACAGGTGATTTGTCCTGATTCCTTGGTCTCAGTTCTCTTTCTTCTTAAATTCCATTCTGCTCTCCCGTAGGCACCGCCTGGGCCAGTTCTGTTAAAGCGGTGACATTCAGGTCTCTACCTAGGAGCGAGGTCCATCTCTTTCTTCTCACCTCTCCTCTTCAAAGGTCCGAGAGTAACCAGTGGCAACACTTAGTGTTAACCCTGAAGAAAGGCTCTGAGAGAAAACCATTGACGTGATTAGAAAGCAGAGAAAATAAATGTGGTTTATGTATTAGGGGTACCTGACGCGGGTAGTTTGATTTAGGCCTGTTGTATTCCCCGGCAGGCTCTGACCGCCCTTACTTCTACTCCCCGCCTGTAGAATGGGTTACTCTAACCCACGAGGCTTCTGAAGTCGCCAGTAAAAGACCGTGAGACCGCGGGTCACAGACCAAACGCCGTAAATCATCTGCCAGTTGCTTTGACTGTTGGTACATTTTCAGCAATCCTCATAAAGTGGAATGTTATTTTTTGGGGAAAACCGTTCCCCAAACCTGAGTTCCCTGAACTCCCAAATTAATACCTGATGTGTGTCAGTGTACCTGGAAATTCCCCCTGGCGGGTGGAGTGTGGCTGAGGCATATTGCTTTGCTGTGCTTTTTTTTTTAATTAAAAAATAAATGCCAAAAAGTACAGAGGGCAGTATAGCAAAGAGCATGCACGCACCACCCCAGGTGATGCTCTGCTGGCATTCGTCCCAGTGTGGACTGGCTCGCCGGCCACGCTTCTGCCCATTCCTCGGAGCAGGTGGCAGTGCCCACTTGCAGATAAATCAGACAGCACCTGAAGCCGATGCCTAATAAACAGGCAAAATTAACAGCCATGTTTCCAACCTGGAGACTCTCGAGACCAAGCTTTCATGTAAAGGAAGCCCAGGAACTCCCCCGAGAGCTGGATTTAACTGCCATTTGAAGGCTGTCAGAAATATTTACTGAGTCGCTGGCTTCTGGAAAAAGTCCTTCATTTACCGGAGGAGTTAGATCATGAAGTGAGCCCTGGGGGTGCTGTTGACTCGGCCATACCAATCTCGTGAAGCCCACGGAACGTTTGGGGCCCAGGGTGTTTGCCCTGGAGCGGGTTCAGCTTCTCCCCCGCCTTCCCGCTGGCTAGACTCTGGCCACGGCCCCTCTTGCAGTGGCTCTTACAGACTCTGTCGATGGAAATTGCTCTCCAGGTGGAACTCCGCACGGCTGGGCCACACTCAGGACCGGTGCCTGGAAATCTTGTTAGTCTCTCCATCAGGGTGGGGAGGGTGTGTGGGGCTCGTGGGAGCAGGAGTAACATTGCCCTGAGAGCCTGTAGCCCAAGCTGGTTTGTCAGTGGGTGCTGGGTGGGCGCTGGAGTGGGTGGACCCGGATGCTGTCTCGGGAGGGTTTGTGAAGAAAATCATTGGCTTTTGGGTTCACAGTCACTGTGACCTTGAAGCCAAGCCCACTCTGTGTCCCTGTGGGTGCAATCACCCCATGTCTGGACACACTGGGGCCAAAGGCTCAAAAAAAGGGTAAGGAGGCGCCACCTTCCTTAATTAGAAAAAGAAGCCATAGTCCCTCAAGGCTATCTCGACAGGAGGAAAAGGGTGTCAGGTCACAGCTGCCCAGTTTCCCAGGACATTTGTTACCCCGCCTCTCTGGCTGGTTAGTGCTGTCACCCACCTTGATCCATACAAACGCCCCTTTTCGTGCCTGAGAACAGTGAGCCCAGCCCCACTGTGTGAATGCTGCGAAGACCCCAATACCCAGAACTCATGTTGGGACTGTCTTATTAAAATGCAGGTTTCCAGGCCTGGTGCTCTGAGACTCTGCCCAAGTCCCAGCCATCCTATTGAGGGGAGTTGGCACCTCCCTCACTTAGTCAGCAGAACCCCCGGAACCCCGAGGGAAGGCCAGTCAGCGCGCAGCCTCTGTGGTGTGCTCAGCCTCCTCCATCCCGCCCCATCACCGCCTCCTACCACTCCTTGCTCCCGGGCTTCAGGGGAACACCATTCGCAAATCCCTGCTCTGGCGCATCTGAGCAGCAAGTGCAGCTCCTGGCGGACCCCATGTCAGATGGCCGGCACCGTGTCGGTCACTAGGCTGACCGGGAGGGGGCCAGTCCGCAGTGATCTGCTCCCACTGATGGTGGGGCGCAGACCTGATGCTACCTCCTCTCGCCTCAGTTGTGCCCCGACTTTGAGTTGGGTCAGCACCCTCACTGGCCCTAGAGCCAAGGACACTTCAGCCTGAGGAGGTTAGGAGAATGCCCGAGGCCCAGTCCCCCGGAGGGCGGAGACACGCTGCTGTGTCTGGCCCCTTTGCCTTGTGGAGGCAAGTGGCATCTTGAGGTAACAGATCGGCCTCAGCCTGGGGGGCGCGCTGCAGGGAGCAGCATCCAGGGTGAGCTGCTCCAAGGTCTGATTAGTTACAATTAGCGTGTGTCACGTCTGTTCCTGTGCGTCAGCCTCTCAGCTGCACTCACAGCCCCACGCGCGTGGGGTGAAGAGCAGATCCTTGCCTGTCGCCCACACGCGGCAGGCCAGCATGGGGCCCACAGCCCCCGCGCCCCCCACCAGGCGCACAGCCTCTTCCTGGCTTCCCTTGCAGGAGTCCCCCACCTCCAGACTAGGGCTGGATGTTGACGAGTGACTGTGTGCGCATAGGAGATTGAGCGGGACGGGAGGTGGGGGCCCCGCTGGCTCCGGACGGGGGTGCCCTGGGCTCCCACCTGAGCAGGTGCTGTGGCCGTGTGGACGGGGCCGCTGTGCTCAGCCAGCAGGTCCTGATGGAGATGGGGCTGCCCTGAGCTGCCGGGTAACCAAACACGGACCCGTCACCCAGCTTCCTTGAGCCTCGGTTTACCCAGACCTGAGGTGAAGGGCTGGTACTAGGGAATCTCACACGAGCCCAACTTCTGGAATTCGTTTTTTCTGTGCTGAGACTGTAGTCAAACGGGTCATTTCTTCCTTCCCATTGGGGAAGCATGGATGTGCTCTAATTCGGGGGTCTCAGTCTTAGGTCAGGAGGGTCCTTGGGCCCGCTTGTTCGTGACTTGTTGGTGACAGTCAGCGTCTCTGGGTGCCTGCAGCCAGCACCACCTCCCAGAGGGTGGGTCGGCGGCTCCTTGCTGCGACAGACCCGGAGGTCTGGGCGTTCCCCTGGTGAGTCCACGGCTCTGAGTCCTTCTGCTGGCCCCACGGTCACTAACCACTGGCCTTCTTTCCTCTGCGTTTGCAGTGCAACCCGCCTCTGGAAGTGAAAGATCTGTTCATCGACATCCAAGATGGCAAGATCCTGATGGCTTTGTTAGAAGTACTGTCTGGGCGGGATCTGGTACGTATGTCACAGCAGAGCCAGGAAGAAGTCAAATGCAAACCAGGACCTGCTGGGCACACTTTGCATTCTGATTATACACATGGACATTAAACCCCACGAGAAGAAACTTTGGAAGGGGGACATTGCTTCCTCAGCCTTGGGGACAGGTGTAATTGCGTGTAACTGAGCAGTATCTTTTTTTTTTTTTAAGATTTATTTATTTATGCATACAGAGCTGGGGTACAGGCCAGAGGTGCAGGGGCTATGAGAGGCTTCACCAGAGACAGAGTGGGGAGCAGAACAGGCAGATCGAGGAAGTACACTGCTGAGGGCAGCAGCAGGCGGGTCAGGAGAGGTCTGTCGCGCCATGTGGGTCACCTCTGGGGCGGGGATCGAACTCATTCTGAAGTGGCTTTAGCTTAGAGCTGTGCTTTAACTCTCTGCGCCACCAGGGAGGGCCTCAATATCTCTTTTTTTTAAAGCAAATATACTCTATTAAGTATATAAAGGCCCATGTTTTCTGTGAGTCTGTTCAGGCTGAAGACTGGAGCCAGATCATTAAAGCTAAGCTAGTCAGGCACGATATTAACTGGAACAATGGCCTGGATGCCGGGCGGTGGAGGAGAAAGGCGACATAGTCATCACGTTTTATTACCCACTGCAAGGCTAAAACTAGAACTGCTGGTTTCTAGAACCTTCTCAGTATGACTGAGATTGCATTGGGAAACTGAGCCAAACCCTGGGTGTTGTGACACCTGCTCTGCCCTTGAGGAGCACCGACCTGGCCCAGTGCCAGCAGGTGGAGGCTGAGCAGCCTTGCTCTGAGGAGGGTCAAGTGTTCGGTTTGCAGGGAGTGACCCACATGCTAATACCACGGGGCGCAGCTCCACAAACCACCCCTCAGCCCATGTGGCCTCTGTGGGCTTAAAGTCAAAGCCCTACTTCTGCTCACAGATCTGGTATCTGGAATCTTCTGGCACCCCTGCACCCTTCCTGCCTTTGTTTTCCCACTGGCAAAGTGGGAGGCGGCCTTGGCCTCCCTCCTAGAGGGCTGCAGGGTCACAGGGTGGAGCCCGAGGGCAGAGCGCTGGCTACTCAGCCGTCGCGCTGTGAGCCGGCAGTCCGAGACAGCACGTTCCTGCCCTTCCTCTGCGTCCCCAGCCACGTGGGGCCCCCACTTTGTCACAGGGCCCTGAGCCAGTGCCGCCTAGCTCTAGGGGCCTCACTGGGGACTTTATTCAGAAGCCCAGCCGAGAATAGCCCCCTTCCCTGTGAAGGGGGGCATTCACCCCGTGTGCACCAGGCTTCGCCCAGAGGCAGGGTGAGGCCAGGGTGGGCCCCTCGGTGCTGCCGGTGTGGACAGCTCGTGCCAGAGCACCTGCGTCTGCAGACACCTCTCCCCTCCTCCCCTTCTCGCGTGTCTCTGCCCATCTCTGACTCTGACTCTCCCCTTCTGCCCCACTCATCCCTGTTTCTCTCCCTGTGTCTCTTCAATCTTTCTGTCCCACCCTTTCTCTCCATCTCTCTGTCTCTGTCTCCTGTCTCCCTCTGCCTCTCCCCACCCTTCCCCCACCCGCGGGATAACTGTCCACAAAGCTGTTGTCCAGAAACCAGAGTCCCTCTGCCACCGTGGGGCTGGCAGGTGACATGGTGCTGTAGCCGATGCCCGTCCTGACTCAAGCCGTCAGCACAGCGAGACTGGCGTGGAGGGTCCCTCGAGGAGGGGGGAGCTGGTCAGAGGGGAAAATCTGAGCAATCAGACTCTTACTCATACCCCGAGCCCCCCATTCACCACGACGGACGCTGGCACTGACGCTGCCGCTGCTTGTCCTGGGCCCCCGGTGCGAGTTTGGGGTCCGCCTGGACTCAGCCATGAATGTGAAGAGCAGAGAAGGCAGCCGGCCGGGCTCCAGGGGGCGGCTGCGTCTGCCACCTGACTTGGGCTTTGTTCTGTTTGTGCTGCAGCTGCACGAGTATAAATCCTCCTCCCACCGGATTTTTCGGTTGAACAACATAGCAAAAGCACTTAAGTTTCTGGAAGACAGCAATGTAAGTACTCGGCACGCTCCTGTTCACACGGCCTCTTCTGCCACGAAAGGGACCTCTTGAAATTCTGCGCAGGTCATGCGAGAAGTGTGAAGTGGGCAAATTAAATATAAATGTAACTGAACTCGGAGACCGGCCCTCGGGCCTTCGGGATCCATGTGGCGTTTCTCTCTTCATGCCGTGAATAAGAGCATGTAACCCCTCCTGTTAGAGCTAAAATATGGGGGAGTGAAGGGGTAGGGGGTTGGCTAAAGAGCCAGGGAAAATCACAAGTCTCCCTCTTCGATGTACCTTTCTAGATGTAAATTAGCTTTTCCTGCGTTTTCAAGGCCTTCAAAAACGGGAGGGAGGGCCTAGAGGGGCGAAACTGGTGAAGCTCCCCCTCATAGGGTGTCTCCATTAACCCATGTATAAGCCCCCCACTTGCCTGACGTGTCGGCCCGCACGGCAAGCTGTGACCCTCTTGGGGTTCTCGGTGGCTAGCTACAGAAGCTGACCTCGGCTGATTTCATCAGGAAAAGAATTTGTTGAGAGAATATTGACTAGTTCACGGGATGATTTGAAAGACGGGGAAGTCAGGGTTGGGACCCAGGGGTGCTGGCACAGGACGACTGCTGAATCACCCAGTCTGGTGAGAGCCACCACTCTTCCTGCCCCCCCCCCGACACCCCACTCGAGGAAGACACTGCTCACTGCTCCCTGGAATGAATTCTCAGTATCACACTTTCAGATTCAAAGGCCTCAGTTTCCCAGCCTAGAACCCCACCATGTCCCAGCTACCAAGGAGAAGGGGAGTGCTTTGGGCTTTTGAAGAGTGAAGTGGGCTCTACCTCCTAGGCTGTGGGGAAAGCCACAGACATGGCAGGGTTTCAGGTGATGGGACAGAATAGATCACAGTAGTCTTAGTCTCAGCAGCCGAAGTGTGGAAGCAACCCAAGTGTCCTTTAGTGAGCAAATGGTTAAACATATTCCATTGTGTTTGCAATGGAATATTACCCACCCATGAAAAAGATCAGCAGCCTGCTACAACCTGGAAAGAAGCCAGACTTTTTATTTGGTGATTTCATTCCTATGAAATGTTTGGGACAGGATATCTCTAGTCAGAATGTAAATTAGTTGGGGGGGGGGTTAGGGTTAGGGCTGCTGAGCCCTTCTTGACATTGATATCTCCCTCCCAGCCTTGGCCTTCCTCCCCCAGGACCTTGTGTTTTCTGCGTGGTGCTTATGGATTCAGCCCTAGGCCAGAAAACTAGGGCGTCCCACTTGCTTAGAAATGCCCAAGCCTGGTTGACAGGTGTTGTGAGAACCCTTGACAAATTGATAGAACCAGAGACTGTGTTGTGCTTTTTGGGAAGCCCCAAGGGAAGGGGAAAGGAATTGAGGGTGTGAGGTGTTCGGGCAGCCCTCCTGGCAGAATTGTGTAGGGTGGAGTTCAAAGTTTACCTTGACTTATTCATGTCTCCTCTCTTTCCCGGAAAGAATGGTTCTTCCATTTGTAAAGGGCTGTAAAGAAGACACAGACAGAGCCTGCAGAATCTTAAGTAGTTAACTCCTCTCTGGCCCTTTCCAGAATAAGTCTGCAGACCCCTGATCCCAAGGTTTCGGTTGTTTGCAGAATGAAAGGGCAACTTAGCAGGGGTCCTCAGACCCTTAGAGTACTGGTTCAAACGCACACTTGTCAGGCCCACTCCCTGCCCTTCTGGGAGAGAATTTGCCTTTCCAACAGACTTCCAGGCGATGATGATGGCTCTGCCCAGGGACCACACTTTGAGAAACGGTCAGGGATTGATTCCCTAAAAGCCCATCTCTGTGGTCAGAGCTCAGTTAAGCAATACACAGTCTCCTGAGGGTTTCTATAGTGGCACATTTGAGCCAATCGGTGGGATATTTTGTGATGATTCAGGAACGGGGTGTAAGCCTCATCCCAACACTATTTCTAATTGGCAACGCCTAACTGATCCACACCCCTGCCACCAGCGGTCTGTGCTGGCCTCCAGTTGTTTTCCATCTGGGGGTTCAGTGGCGTTAGCACAAAGTGCCGGCGGCCCTGAGACACTTACCATCTTCCCTGGGAAGAGAATGACTGTCCCGACTAGTGCTGTGACCTGGGCACATTGTTTTCGACCTTCTTAAAGTGTCCTCGCTAAAGAAGCAAACGTGTGGAGGAGCTGAGTTGACACTTGGGGGGGGAGCTCGGAACAGTGCTGTGTAAACGCTCATTAAACATGCGTGTCTGTACGCTGTGGAGGCTGCCCTTGGGCAGGTCTCAACCGCTCAAGTGAGAAAAAGAACAAAGCACCAGGGAATTATAGGTCTCAGCCCCCACGACCCCCGCTAAACCGGTGAATTGCTTCTGTGCAGGTAAAACTGGTTAGCATTGATGCGGCCGAAATAGCGGATGGCAACCCCTCTTTGGTTCTGGGGCTGATATGGAACATCATCCTCTTCTTCCAGGTAACGCGGTCTCTCGTGCCACGGACCCGGCCTCCTTGAGCCTGCTCGTGCCAGCAGAACCAGGGCGGGGGGGTGGGGGGCGGCAGATCGAGGGAGACCGGGAGGTCTTGTGCCTGACAGATTTTGACCTTTCTGTTTTCTAAAAAAGAACTGGAGGAATCTGGTTGCTAGAGACTTTGAATCTCTGTCGTCCTTTCAAAGGTGTGAACTCTGTACTCTGGAGAACTCCCTGTCCTCCGAGGACTTGAAAAGTTAAATGTTTGCTTGGGAAAAGAATTTTGTCTGAAGTGTCGCAGGAACTGGGAAACACTCCCAGCCCAAAACTGAACTCCGTAGAGTCACTTCCAGCTAGAGAACGCCTGAGGTGTCCCACGGAGACTGTGGGGGGTGCCAGGAGGGGCGGAGGCAACCGGGAGCCAGCTCCTTCCACAGCAGCTTTGGTTTCTGTTTGGACGTGCAGACTTTTTCTTTCTTTTTTTTTTTTGACAATGCGTGTGTGTGTGTGTGTGTGTGTGTGTGTGTGTGTGTGTGTGTAGAAGAACTGGAGTACAGGCGAGAGGTGCGGGGGTGGTGAGAGGATTCAGCAGAGACAGGGGGGAGCAGAACAAATGGATCAACTGAAACACACTGCTGAGGGGAGCAGTGGGGAGACAGGAGGAGTCTGCTGCGCCCTGGGAGTCACTCCCTGGCCAGGGATCAAACTCAGGTCATAGTGGTGACAGTGCTGGGACTGAACCCCTAGGCCACCAGGAGGGAGGCCCTGGAAATGCAGACGTTCTGGAAGCATGCCAGGACCTGTGGCTGGAACAAGAGCAGAAGCTTTTGAGGTCAATACCAAGTTCGTTTCCCTGAGGAGGAGCGAGCCGACATTTTGTCTTCTGAGTCAGAAAGCCATGGTTCATTTTCCTCTGGCTCCAAGAGCAGTTGACCGGTGCGGGGTGATGTGCTGGGGCTGTTGGCTCAAGGCTAGTGTTTTAGAGAGGAACAGGCACGCGATCCGGGGGCCAGAGATCCAGTTCTGTGTGAACCTTGAACTTAAAAAACCAAAGGTTCTCACAGAGCCTGTGAAATGAGTTTCCAGGTCTGTGAAGTTGGAACCGTGGGCTTCATGTGTAGTGGCTCAGAGGCACTGTGTGGATGTTTTGGTTCACCGTGCCGTGTTAGATACCAGCCTCCATGGCTGATCTTCATTATTAAACTACCTGAGCGATGCTGGACGTGAACTAAAAATGTGTTGAAAGTCTAGGTATTAAATCCACTACAGATCTTCGTTCATTCAAACGCCGAGTTTTCTGTGTGTGCCAAACCCCGCCCATGAGTCCCACCCTGGCAGCTGTCCGGATAACAGACCAGTCAGTCCCACGTTACAGAACCTTGTGTTACAGGCTGTGATCAGGGTCTAAACAGGGTGTTAGAAGAGCACCAATGAGGGGCAAGTCCTTGAATGGGATGGGAGTGAGTCAGGAAAGCTTCCTAGCGGAAATGACACCAGGCCTGGGTTTTGAAGGATGAATAGGAGTATGTTAGGCCAGTCCTGTTCACCTAGGGGTGGTGTTGAAATGCAAATTCTGACTCTGAAGGGACAGGGCCTGGGGTTCTGCATTTCTCACATGTGCTCCATGAGAAGAGCCACATTGTGCGTAGCTAGGGATTCCGTAATGGAGGGAAATGCCTCCCAGGCAGCAGGACCAGAGGCAGCGGGACCTGAAGCAGCCTGCTCCGTTCCAGAGAGGAAGGGGATTGCTGGCAGTAGGTGAGGAAGACCCTAGGTAGGGTGCCTGGCCAGAGCAGGAGGGATGGTCTTACTGTGAGTGGTCGCTTCCTGCACTGCTAGCCACATGACATGGCTGGTCCATCCGCACACTCTCCACCCTGCCCCTGGACAGCCTGGCCATCAGGAAGGGCTGTCTCCTTGCCTGGAGAACCAATTCTGCATGAGCTGGTTCTCCTGGCTGTGGTCCACATGGCTGTGGGTCAGGTGGGCATGGCACTGGGGTCTGAAATGCAGTTTTCCTTCCAGATTAAGGAGCTCACAGGCAACCTCAGCAGAAACTCTCCATCTTCCGGCCTGTCACCCAGCCTGGGGGCCACAGATTCAGACTCCTCCTTCCCACCCACGCCCACCACAGAGAAGAGCTCGGCCATCTCGGTGAAGGACCAGCGGAAGGCCATCCGGCTCCTGTTGGCCTGGGTGCAGCGGAAGACAAGGAAGTAGGCCACCACCTGGGTCCCCAACCCCCACAGGCAGTTTTCAGGCAGAGGGAGGGGGACCCATCCCTGGAGCGGGCAAAGGAAGGGAACTCAGTGGTCACTGACTCCCTGTTCTATGGCCGGCACGTCAGTGAGCCTCTCAGAGCAGGGAACGCCATTGTCAGCTTCTGCATCCAGCCACTGCTTGCACATGGCGGGTTGAATACAAACCAGAAGGCCTTTCTCCAAGTTAACTCGCAACGTGGGGTTGTCTCTTGATGCTGGGAACATGTATGTCCATTTCAATAAGCGTCGGGGTGTCTTTTCATCTGCCAGCTTAAAGGAAAGCGATAAAGGCTGGCACTTGTCAGGGTTCGGCCTGCCCCCTCACACCCCTCAGCGGGACGGGAGCATGGAGCAGAGCCCCGGCTCCCGGGTGAGCAGCGGTTCTGAGTCAGTCCCGACTGGTCACTGCCGAAAGCCCTGGCCATCGTGGGCTGGGATGGGCAGACGCCGGGCCAGGGGCCAGCCACGGCCTGGCCTAGGGTGCCGGTCACGGAGAGGGGCTGAGCGCGGGGCTGCCGCAGCTCTGTCCCCACCGCGGTGGCTCCAGGCATCTGGCTGCGAGCGGGGACATTTCACCCCTGAGAACGTGAAATTGCAGATGGACATGACAGGTCTGAGGCTCGATCGATGGTCCTCACGGACGTCAGCACCTGGTTGTGAGAGCACCTTCTGCTAACACTGGCTAGCGGGCACTCACCGAGCTCTTCTGAGGACGCCGCTTGTGTGATTTCTTACGAATCTTAATTTTCTAAAACTAAAAAATTAGGGTTTTATTTTTTAAAAGAGTGTGACCCAGTGCGAGCAGTGGGGTACCAGGTGGCGGATGTTGAGGGGCGTTTGTACCTGGCCGCTTAGCTACGTGTATCCCCGTTCAGGTTATGATTTATTTGAATTACTAGCGGCGGCATTGGCCACTTGGTGGCTTCCATGAGCTCCTCACCGTGCACACGTCCCCACGTCCCGGCCGTCCATGTGGGTTCCGCCTCAGCCGCTCCACAGCAGCCCCCAGAGGTCACAGCAGTCGATCCGGGTTTATGAATGAGGACCTGAGGCTTGGAGGCCCCTGGCTTGCCCAAGGCTGGGATGTGAACTCGGGCTTCGGGGCGGAATGGCGCAGCCCTCCGTGGCTGGGCTTTGAGCACACCTGATAGGGTGACAGTGCACAAAACGCTCCTCTGGACACCTGGGAATTTGTGAACACAGGCCCTGTCTGCCCTGTCGTGTGTCATCCCCTTCTGTGTCTCGGGAAGTGGAGCTGGGGGTTCCGGTCAGCTCGCCAATGCTTCGAGCCTGGGGCGTGTTGCTGGGTCTGCAGCTCCTGGATCTTTGGCCGTGCACCTGGTGACACCCCGTGCTCCCGCAGGTATGGCGTGGCGGTGCAGGACTTTGCTGGCAGCTGGAGAAGCGGGTTGGCCTTCTTGGCGGTGATCAAGGCCATCGACCCCAGCCTGGTGGACATGAAGCAGGCCCTGGAGGAGTCCATGCGGGTAAATCTCGAGAAAGCTTTCAGCATCGCCCACGACGCCCTTCACATCCCCAGGCTCCTGGAGCCAGAAGGTAGCGTGCTTCTCTGTCTCTGCTCTCTGCTTTTTAATAATCATTACGACAAATAACACATGGTCCAGGTAGAAAATTGGACACTACAGAAAAATCTACTGAAGACCCCTATGTTCCTGCCACTGAGGCCCCTTCTCCAATGTTCATCTATGCACCTAATTCTCATTTGTTTTTGCTTAACTGGGGTCATTCAGTGTATATAATTTCGTATCTTATGCTGCTTTTTACTTAACATTATAATTAAGAAACTGGTGCTGTGCTGGCTGCATCAGGTCTTAGTGGGGCCTTTTCTGGATGCGGGTAGCCAGCTCCTGAGCACACCAACGTTTACTTAGCTCTTCCCCACTGCTGTTAGCTCTTTCCCACTACTAACTGCCATGGGCATCTCTGAAGAAGGTAGATGGGGTGGAAAGCACACTCCTTTTCAATGCCCGTGGCTCTCTCCATCCAATTGCCTTTGGGTGTCTTAGGCTCACTTGGGTCCCCCTCTGGCCACGAGTGAGGGCTGTGGCCCCAGACTCGCTGAAGGACTGGGTGGTGAGTTGAAGGTGGCACGGTGGGCAGAATCTTGGGAATAAGTAGCCCTGATCCTTCCTTCGCCTGTGAGATTTCAAAGGCTCTGCCCTTTCTGGGTCACAATTTCCTCATGTAAGGTGAAGAGGGAAAGCCCTCCGGGGCCTGGGGGGCCCCCACGCATCCTGCGATTCATTTCAAAGTGGCTGTGTCTATCTATGTCTTCTGACCCCCGCATTTCTTCTGCAGACATCATGGTCGACACCCCTGATGAGCAGTCCATCGTGACTTACGTGGCCCAGTTTCTAGAACGTTTCCCGGAGTTGGAAGTACGTTTGTTTTCCTTACTTTAAGCAGAAACCACCACAGCTGCTATCAGACAGCGCTGGGCTCAGCCACTTCTTGGGCCGAGCGGCCATAGTCAGCAGCTGATCTCAAGTTCTCTGGATGTGGCCATGTTTTGTTTCCATGTCACATTGGAAACAGGAGGAGAAGCTACTCCACCCCATGCCTCTTCCCTGCTAGACTTAACCAAGATTATCTAAGGTGCTCGCATGTGATGTGGATCAGCTACTTGATTTCTGAGCTATCGATGGGGCATTTTAACAATCGTCTGGAGTCTGTGCTAAAAATTATACAGCCATCATTCTAAAATCCACCTTTTTATTTGCAGAATCCCATATTATACATAGTGACATTTGTGGGGTGGGGAGGGGGGGAGCAGAAGTAGACTGTCAGATTTGTCTTGGCTCCGTTGACCATCCATCCAGCCCACACACAGTCCCATGGTGACATGACAGCAAGGTGAACGAAAGGACCACAGCTCTTCTTTCACTCACTGGTACTTCCCTGAGCTGGCCCAAGCGGACATGCCCGCGTTAGATGGTCTGGTGTATTTGCCACAGTATGGAAAGCAGCTAACAAGTCAGCGAATACGTGAGAATTCCAGGGAGTTACAAGTACTGGATGGAAAGAAAAGGCGGGGAGAGCTCATGTCCTAGCAGGGGCTGCAGGCGGCGGGCCCATGTCTTTCTGGACTGACTGCCGTGATGGTCAGTGCATCAACCTCATCTTCGAGATGAGAACTCAGACACACCAAGAGGTGACCCCTCCAGGTCCCACAGCTATTGAGTCAAGTTGGGATATGACCCCAGGCCCCTGGGGTGCCAAAGTCTAGGTTCATAGATCTCTTACAACTTGTGTTTGAAACAGGGGACCTCATTTTGTATGGCCAGAGGTCAGGGCCATACCACGCCACAGTGTGTGCACATCACTTCTAAGGACAACAGAAACTTTGGCAAAGGGGATTTTCAAGCTGGAAAGCCATTGCTGTGTGGCCTCAGACAGATGACTTCACCTCTCTGATACATATCTGTATCGGATTGTACTGTAAGCAGAAATACTGCCCACATTTCAGAATTGAGTGCTAACTTTTGTGCCTGGCACAACAGCTGATGTTCTGCAAATGGATGCAGATGGTGATGGTGATTTTGTTAATTTTGTTTTCTGGCTTATTACTAACTTCCGTAACACAGAGCACCAAGGGCTTATATGAGTCCTGAGCACTTAAGCTGGAATCAGAGTCTAAAACTGACTAAAAATGTATATTTCTTTGAGTCAAGGGCATAGCCAGGACTCAGCACATCTGACACATGGATTTCCTGAGTGCCAGGGTGAGAGATGGTGGCTGGAGCAGGAGAATTTGAGGAAAATGTATGTTAAGAAAGTCTTACTGATTCAAAACAGGGCACCCCTGCAGAACAATCATCTTGGTTCCCCAGGAAATATGGATTTGAAGTTTAGGGTCACCTAGACACCCCCAGCCCCCGCCCCATCGACTGTTCCTTAACAATTAAACTGTATTCAGTTCATGTCAGTCAGTGTTCATTAAGTCATAGCCATCATGTACCAGACTCTGTATAGAGCTTTATGGCCCAGTATATGGCTTGTTTTAGGAAAGGCCTTGGATATCTTTGGGAAAAAAAAAAAATGTGTCTTACATGGTAAAAAAATGCACATTCTTTGGGTATTGATTTGTCAGAGTTGCTTAATATGCTGTTCTAATATCTTCTCCACACACACACATGGTATATTATATTTATTTTTGCATAGTATGGGGTGCAAGCCAGAGGTGTGGGGGATGAGAGGATTCAGCAAATCTGATAGAGTGGGCAACAGATAAGCAGATCTACTGAAATACTCTGGTGGAGAGGAGAGTGGTGGGGCAGGAGAGGTCTGCTAAGCTGGGGGTTGAACTCAGTCCATAAGTAGGGGCCTTTGCAGTGGTAGTGCTGAGACTTAACCCCTAGTTCACTAGGGAAACCCTATTCTCTACACCTATTACTTTGTTCTGCTCTTTCAGTTAGTGTCAGAGAGAAATGTTAAAAATCTCCAGTGATGATCGTGGGTTTATTTCTTTTTGTTCCGTCAGTTATTGCTTTGTAAGTTAAAGCTGTGACCTTTGGAGCATATACATTCAGGATTGTTGTAGCATCCTCATGACTGGATTGTTCTTTTATGCAGTTTCCTCTTTGTCTTGAAGTGAACTTCGTCTGATTGGAATATAGCCACACTGGTTTTCTTCTGACTAGTGTTGGCATGATAAACCTTTCTACATCTTTTTCCATTAAATGTGTACACCCACACATGTGTGTGTATATGTATATATATATGTATGTATGTATGTATGAATATGTTTAACATACGTTTTGGAAACAGCATACCACAAGGGTTTCTTAGTCCATTCTGATAAGAGTTAGTGTATCACTCAGTTAGTGTGGTTTTTGTCAGTTTACTTAGATTTAATCTGCCACCTTAACTATTGTTTCCCATTGGTCCTTCCTGTGTACCTTCTTCCTTTCTTAGTTTTTCCCCCCATTATTTATTTTTTCATTTCCATTTTATTCCTTCCTTTGCTTTCATCTACATCAGCTTGTTTTGTCTATTTATTAGATATCCTAGGGGTTATGATACCCTGAACATACCTCAGTCAACCTTGAATGACTGTTATGACTTTTAAGTCAAATGCATCTAACATATTTTTACATATGCAACTATTTAATTACAGTCATTTCTCCATTCTTTTGTAGTCATTTCATTTCACTTCTACACATGTTTTAATCCCGCTATTTTTGTTATATTTCTGCTGTAAGCAGTCAAGAGGCTTTTAAAGAATTGTTTTTAAGTCTTCTATAAGTGACCATATATTTACCATTTCAGGTACTTTTCATTTCCTCCTTCAGATCTAACTTCTATATGTGATCACTTCCCTTGAGATTGAAGAACTACCTCGTTATTTCTTGTAGAATAGGTTAAATAGATAGTGTCCTTATTTGCCAATTTTAGCCTTGGGTCATATTTGGGTCTACTTCTAAATAGTTTTGTTTCTCTTGATTCAGAAACTCATGAGTCTCACTCACCTAATTTTTCTTGTCTTAACATTTTTAATTTTATGCCAGAATTGGTGCATTTAAGATCAGTAGAGGTTGACTTAGATCACAGTTTTCCCTTCAGAGAATGTAGCCCTTTCCCAAACAAGGACCTATGATATTCTGATCTTCTCATCATTGATAAAAACTATATGACAATTTTATTTCACTTAAGCTCTCTGATTTCAAACCAAGCTCAAATCCATTTCTTCCACCAGGACATTGGGGGCCAAGCACAATAATATCACCTAGGTTGCTCTGTGCTTCTCAATCCTGTTCTCAACTGCTTCATATTTAGCAAAAGTCTCTGTTTGAGGAATGGGTATATAAGGCGAGTTGGCTTTGCATTAGGAATCCTTCCAGATTCCAATTCAAGGGGGGGAGTGGCTGACAGTATCTGCTCACTTTGGAAGGACTCATCCTTCTCTAGAATTTAGATCATGGAGATTTCTTTCCATCCCTAGCTTAAAAAAAATCTTAACCCATCTGGTATTTTCACAGTTCAGCAGAAACCATAGTATTTTGCAGACTTCTACATCTTAGAACACTTCACAGCAGTTCTGATGTGCCTTTTTCCACCATAATTTTTCATTTTTGAAGAAAGGAATGTGCATTGTACTTACACACTCTTCTGGTATCACCTTGTCCTCTGTTTCATGGCAGGAGGATTTTGAGGATCCAGAGAAAGAAGCTCCTATTGAATCCACCTTTGTCCGCATCAAGGAATCCCCTTCTGAACAGGAGAGCAAAGTCTTCCTTCTGACCGAAAATGGGGAGCGTTCCTACACTGTTAACCATGAGACTAGCCACCCACCCCCATCCAAGGTCTTTGTCCCTGATGAGCCAGAGAGCACTGACGAGCCTGAGAAAAGCCTCTTGAGTGACATGTCCTGCCATGCTCTGTCAGATAGTGCTTCTGAGTTCATGCACCAGATCATCGACCAGGTCTTCCAGGGGATCTCAGCAGATAGCAGCATCAGCGAGACATCTCCAGAATCTTCCATTCTGTTATCCAGAAAGGATAATCGGAGGGCCAACTCCTTGCCAATCAAGAAGACTGTGCACTTTGAGGCCGACACCTGCAAGGATGCCTCCTGCAGCAAGGACTCTTTCTACAGCCAAGACCTTCATTCCGAAGAGGGCGCCCAAGGGGCACAGGAGTTGCTGAAGCAGGAGGGACAGGTCCCGGTGGTGGAGGTTGCTGAGGAGAAGCCACAAGAGGAAGCCCCAGGGATCCTGGAAGCCTCTGCGGACGACTTCACTTGGGTGGATGGGAATATGGATCATTCTCTGACTTCCCAGACTAGTCCCTCCTGGAACGGGGAGCTGGAGTGTGCAGCCAGCCCTAGTGAAGACGGGCCTCCCCTGTCATCCCCCGAGGAAAACACCCTCCTGGCCGATTCCCTGGAGATCAAGGTTAAGCTGCTGACTGCCCAAGCTTTGGGCAAAGAAGACTATTTTGAAGGTGTGCCACTAAAAGCCTCTAAATTTAACAGCGACCTTGTCGATTTTGCCTCCACCAGCCACCAGCAGACTTTCAACAAGGCCCCTCCTTCTCCGGAGAGAAAAGCAGCCGAGCAGGAGGTTTTGGAGGAGAATCATGAAGAGAAGTTGGGCAAAAGGAAGAGCAAATCTGCCCACAGAAAGCAGGATTCGGATGAGCCGCAAGACAAGTATGTCCAGCACAACCCTCACAAGGACCCTGGCCCAGAAGCCCTCGGCTCTCCTTGGGCCCCAGAGGAGGCCCTGGGGGGTAAGAAGGCCAAGGTGTGTGAGAAGACCAAGCACAAGTCCCCCTCGCACTGGCAGGGCAATGAGCCTGGGGAGGCGGGGGCCCCCAAGCAGCTTGGGGGAGAATTGCCCTCCAACCCGCCCAGCAGCAATGTCAGCCTGGAGACCCTTGGGAGTCCCAGCGAAGAACGCCTGGACTTCAAACCCTCCCCGCCGCTCTCCAGGATCTCCATCATCCCCCACGACCTCTTCTACTACCCGCACTACGAGGTGCCTCTCTCTGCAGTGTTGGAGGCCTATGCGGAAGGCCTGGAGGATTTGAAAAATGAAGAAATGGACCTGGAGGAGCCAGAGGCCTACCTGCATGGCCTGGAGGCTGGGGAGGAGGCCCAGGAGGCTGAGGAGGCTGAGGAGGCCGAGGCCGAGGTCTCCCAGAGCCCCGGCAGCTTCCTGGGGCTGGGCAAGGACCACCCCCAGCAGAGCGACCAGGCCCCCTCTCTGCACTGGAGTGCCGAAGCTCCCCAGCCAGCCTCTGAACACACTCCCCCACCCTCCCAAGAGGCCCAGCAGCAAAGGGAGGCTGAGGAAGGTGCCCCTGCCGAGAGCCATCAGGTATTTGATTTGGGGGTTCGGGAATCCCAAGCCCTGGCACCGTTCTGCCCTGCTCTGAAACCCAGAGTGTGTGTGTGTGGGGGGGGAGGAACGTGGACTCTTCCCTCACAGGCATCCCAAGGCTGGAATTTAAGGAGACTCTCCCTCTACCTTGGAAAAGTGGGGTGCTGACACCTCTGAGAGTGAGTCCTCCCTAAATTTGGCACCCTGAGCACTCACTGGCCTTTGCCGACCCTGACACTGCCTACAGGGTGCCAAGAGGGTCAGGAGGGGGTGTCCTGCAGGGAACACATTTGTCTACAGAGAGCACAGCCTGCAGGCGTGGATGTCACCCCGCCTCTGGCAGGAGTGCGAGGAAACTAAGGCAAGACCTCAGCTGTGCCCCCCGCCTTGACCTTTACAGGCCTTTCAGTTTGGCACAAATACCTGCTCCTATGCATTCAGGGGCTCCGGTGAGCAGGGCCGGGGAGCGGCCGGCAGCACCTACAGCTTGTGTTGCTGTTTCATCCCGTCCAGCGCTGGAGCCTGGAGCCGGCCCAACAGAACAAGCAATGCGGGGGTGTGAGGCGCAGTGGGGCAGGGTCCTGCTGCAGCCCCCCGTAATCAAGGCTCCCACTAGGTGTCTGTGCTGCTGTCTGGGCCTGTGTGTCTCAGTGCAGTGGGCGAGGAGCTAGGCCTTGGTTGTTGGGTGTCTGCGCTGTGTCCTGCTGATTGTCCGGGCCTGTGGGGGTCTCCTAGGTCCCCTGAGTTTGTGGGGTTCTCCTAGGCTACTGAGTTCGCGGGCTGCCCGTGTTACCTGGCCTACCTCCCCGAAACCAGACTGGGCCCATTGCGCTGTACTGTGTTGGTGTCTGGACTCCCGAGTCAGACTGATAAATGGACTAGGGCTTGGGGGTGGGGGAGGAAGGAAGGGTGCCCTCCTGTTGCCCCTGAGTGTGTCTCATCCAGGCTGAAGGGTGGACCTCGGGGCTTGGGCAGGCCGTTCCTACTGCCTCCACCAGGTTTCCTGTCTCCTGCAGAATGCCAACTCCTGCAGCCTCTCTCCCCCTGTAAAAATAAAAGGGGTTGGGGAAAGACTCCCTTTCAGAGGAATGGAAATGACACGTGTTTCAAAAAAACAAAGCCCTCTCCTCGTCGCTCCTTTCAGAAAAGGCCGCACTGGCCCGTTGCTGACGAGGAGGACTGACGTTTCCCTTGCTGAGTGCTTTCAATTTCTTTGTCCTCTGAGTCCCACTGGCCACTAACCCGCTTGTCCTGATCCGTGTTGAGCAGCTTCCCCAGGCCCTGAGGGGGGCATGCAGACGGTGTCTCCACCATGTCCGCTCTTCTCTGTTTCCTCCATTTCCCGCTGGGGCGCAGCTGAGGGAGCTCGGGTGGGGTTTGCACAGGGATGCGGGGCCCTTCCCCGGGTCCTGCAGGATGCTGCACACACAGGAAGAAGCGAGCAGATGCTAGTGTATGCCTGGGTGGGTTTCCCCAAACTCAGGGCCCCCCGTGAATCCTGTGACCCACCGGGCTCCCAGGCTCCATCCCTTGGCTTCGGTGTTTGAAGTCCCGGCCATTGCCTGCCCTGGGGACACCCTTCCTCGGAGGCTGATGCTCCTCTGCCCATTTGCCAGACAGAGAGACTGAGGCTTAGAGACTCGTCAGCTGTTCCAGGTCGCTCAGCTGCCGCCGGATTCAACAGCAGATCTCGCTGGCTAAAGCCCTGCCGGGCTCGCGCACAGCGCACACCTCTGTCTGCAGAGAGGAGGGGTCGGGGTGGCTGGGCTGAGAGGCCGAGGAGGGAGGGCCGACGCCTGGGACAGGTGGGCCCGAGCCTCATGGCGTCTTCTCTCCGTCTTGACTTGTCTTTGCTTGTCATGCCCCAAACGTCCAGGAACCCTCCAACTCAGAAAACATAGCAAACCCTTTAGAAGAAAATGTACTGGGAAAGTCGATCAGCAGTAAAAAGAAGGAGAAAAGGAAACATGTGGACCACGTAGAAAGTTCCGTCTTCGTCGCGCCTGGAGCTGTCCGGTCCTCCGACGACCTCGAAGAGGACACTGGTGACCACAAAGCCCTTTCCAGGTATTGCGGTCTCGCCTCAGAGACGCAGCTTGGGAGCGACCCGCTGGACTCAGTCTGTGTTCAGCTGCTGGTGTGTTGGGGGAGGCCAGTGTGGGGGCCTGCAGGGGAATGCAGATTCATACCAGGTCCTCACCCTGTGCCAGACCTGCTGCAGAGCAGCAAAACCAGCAAAACCCAAAGCTTGCCCTCTCTGCCTCCTGGCCCTGAACAGTGAGCTGGCTGAGCACACGGAGGGTGGGGAGTGGACAGGCGAGACCGCAGAGGCGCTGCCCCCTGCCCCGGCCCTGTGTGGTGGCGATCGGGCCAGAGGGGAGCAAATGTTCAGAGCATGTAGCCGACCGGCCTGCGCCTGCCTTCCCAGCCCCCAGGAAGCTGGACATTGCTATTAAGGCTTCCTGCACGACCTTGGCTCCAAGGAAGCATAAGGGTAGCTGGCTTCTCTCCGGGAGGATAGTGAGCACTCAGTGGCCTGCCGGTGGCTTGTAGCTCACCTCTGCTCTGTCATCCCAAGGCCACAGACCATCAGCTCTGTCCCAGGGGAAATATCTAACTGCTGAACATCTGAAGAACCCAGTTCTCCCCGTGATCATCTGTCCTCACCATGATCACCGTCTGCCAAGCTCAGTGTGCCAGGCATTGTGCCTGTAATCCCTTGTTAGTCCCAGGGCACCCTACGGGCAGGTCGGTGGGGCTGTGCCTCATTGTGGGCGCAAGGAGGGGCAGGGATACTCCCCACTCAGGAGATAGCAGAGGGGGCCTTAGTCTCAGACACATCAGAATCCACAGGCTATTTTCTGTGACCCCACTTTGCCTGCGGTGGGGGAGCCACACCGTCTGCCAGGGAGGGTGTTGGGTCTGTATTTGGGGAGTGAGTGGAGGCCCAGAGAGAGTGAGAGAGAGTGGGAACTGGCAGATGCCCTGTTTGCATCCTCTCCCGCTCCCCGCGTCCCTGCCTGGGTTCAGGGGACAAGGGGAAATAGAGGCGTGGAACGGGGAGCCACAAAAGGCTGCTGTCACTTCACCCAGGGCCCCCAGAGTCCCTCTGTCCAGCAGCTGTCTTCTCAGAGTACAGGTGGGCACTGGAGACAAATGGCCCAGGGCTGCCTTCCACCCACGCTCCTGGGGTGGGCCTGTTGGGCAGGCGCCTGACCGCTCAGCTTCTGCTGAAGCAGTTTTCTGCCCTCCTGAGGAGCCCTGGGTGGTGGAACCAGCCAGAACTGGGGGCCTTAGAAGTAGTGAGCGACAGCAGAGATGCAGGCACCACTGGGTCCTCCAGTTGCTCACAGGCTGGGATGTGCACCCTTGTTCCTCGAGGACTGGGTGGAGCTTGGTAGGTGGAGCTGGGCACAGGCAGAGGGTCAGGGCTTAAGCATTGAGTGCACATGGGATTTGGATGGGGGTGAGGGAGAAAGAAGACATTCCTAGCAAAATAAACGGGCTGTGCAAGCAGCTGGGCCCAGCAGGCACCTCGTGTGAAGGGGTAGGGGAGACGGAGGCCTGGGGAGGCTGGCACCTGGGGGCATGTTGCATCAGAAGAGCCGCCAGCCCACATCCCAGCGAAGGTAGGACAGCAGCAGGCAGGGCAGCGAGAGGAAGCCTGGAAAGCAGCTGTTATTTGGGGACCTGGGAATGGCGCCTGGGTACTGCAGGCAGACCCTCACCCACACGGGCCACCTTCAACTTATGGCAAAGCGAGTTTTTTTAGCTCAGGTGGAAACTGAGCTCCAAACGCCCTCAGACAGCCTGGAGGGGTGAATGAGCCCCCAGAGCCTGTCCTGCCAGCCCTCTGGCCTGCTCACTCCCAGCTAGGGGTACACCACCCCTTCCTGCTTGTGTGCAGTCAGTGTCTGGCCTGGAGCAATCAGGTGGGATGGAGCCCAGGACCCCCCTCTTCCCTCACAGGATGTTCTGGCTGCATCTCTGCAGAAAAACCCAGGGTTCTGGAATCTGCAGGAACCACCTGGCTCCTCTCTCCCGACTCCATCCACATGTACCCTTGGTCACTTTCTCCCCGCACCCCCTGGGTGCCAGGTACCTTGAAGTCCTTGAACACCCTACCCCGTGCCAAGCTCCGCCTCCCTGAGGACCTTCCCTCTTTCTGGAGTGCTGTCTGCCCCCTCTTCTAGCCTGCATCCTTGGGTCTCAGCAACATTACCTCGCTCCATGCAGCCTTCCAGGATTCCTCCAGGAATCCTCCAGGCATCCTCCATAGCCTCCAGGCTATTTGGACCCCTTTAATGACCTCATAGCCACTATTCTCTTTCTTCATGGCGCTTATCAAAACAGTCATTCCCATAATCAAGTGTCAAGAAGTGTTCATCATCTGCTCTCCCTCTGGATGGGGGGCTAGCTCCCTGAAGGCAGGAAGGCAACCATCATGCCCCTGCCCTGCGCCCCAGCATTTAACAGTGCCTTACAGTTGGCATTCTGTAAAAATTCGCCCAGTGACCAGATATGCTCAGTCTGCTCCTGGGGGGCCTGAGTCACACCGCAGTCCAGAGCTGGCACACAGCAGGCTATGGAGGATGCCTGCTGAAAGAAAAGTGTTGGGGACTTAAACCTGAATACATCCCATGCTGATTAAACTATAACCCCCAAACCAGGGAGGCGTGCTGGAAAAAAAGACAAGGGGTGAGGCTAGCGAGAACTCCCTCCTAAAGGAAACGCCCCACTTTGCTAGAAAATATTACAAACATGTTGGGGGAAGCACCTTGCCTCTCCAGCACCCCAGCGTGGAGTCCACACTTCCAGACACCACTGCATTCTAGGCACCAGGGGATCCTTTTGTTTGGGGGTGCATTTTATTCATGTCGGTGCTGTGATAGCAGTCAGGACAAACCAGCCCAGGCTTGGGCTTGAGAAGAGGACTGAAGTCCAGCACAGAAGCCAGGGACTGGAAACCAGATCAGCGCCCATCCCCCAGGAGAGTGGGGGCGCATCCCTGACGGCAGTGGGCGGGAGCAGCAAAGCTGTCAGCCAGGGACTAAACCCTTGACTCAAAGCCCTTTTGTCGGGAGCCCAGCTACCACCTATTGGTCTCCCTGGAAACCAAATGACTCTTTCCGTACCTGGACACAGGGTCCCCAACACCAGTCTCCCAAACAGCATGACAGGGCCACTTGCACCTGCAACCCTACCAGCTCCGTGAAGCAGGGGGTGGAAACGGTGATCCTTTTCACAGATGAGGAAGCAAGACCAGAGACCTAAGGCCGAGGCTACAGCTGCCTATGACTTGCCCAGGCTGGGTGGCCCGTGTCACCAGATCAGGGCTGTGTCCACATCAGCCTCAGGCCTCTGGTCAGAGATTAGCCACCTGCTGAATGAAGGGTAATGGCCAGCAAAGGAATTCTGGTACCGGGACCCAGCCAGGCCTCAGGTTGGCTTTGTTGGGACCCTAACCCCTTGGGATGCTTGGGGAGAGGGCCCTTCCTACCCCGAAATCGTATCATTTTAAAGACTATGTCGTCTGAATTTCTATGTGGCTTAAAATTCTTTCCACCTTTCCGCCCTGCTCATAAACAAGGGCCCACAGCGCTCTCTTTACAAGCTCACTCCAGCCCAAGTGGGCGTCTCTGATGGGGTCCCGCTTTTCCCACGCTGGGTCTGGAATCGCAGGTTTTCTGAAAGCACAAGCAGAAAACTCGGGACCGGGACCGGCAGCCCGACTCTGCCCCAGTTGCTGGTGGAGGAGGCAACTCAAAACATGTGTTTATTTTTCAGGACTAGTCACAGCGACTCCAGTATTTACATTCGACGCCATAGTAATAGGTCCCTGGAATCGGTTAGTATGTGAATTTCTTCTTCTCTGTAGGCCCCTGCTAATGGATTCCTTTCCGTCCTTCCTCCTTCCCAGCCCAGAGCTTTACAATGACTGATGGGCAGTGACTGTACTTTGGCATAGAAGACAAGCTCAGTGAAACCTTGTCGTTAAGCTCAGTCCAATCGGATGTCCAGTTTGGGCAATCAGGGGTGTAAATAAAGTGATGATTTTAAAGCCCAAAGGCCTCTTTGTTATAAAAAAGCAAAACAAAACGGCATCCAACATCCCCTGCAACCTGCCCCCCCCCCCAGAAGGCTCACCTTCAAAGGCAGAGGGGCAATTAATGAGGGGTCACGGCTGCTTAACCCTCAGCTCCCTGGCATCTGCTGCGCGGGTCCCCAGCCGGCTTCACGTATAGGGGCGGAGCCTCAGTCTGCATGGGCGGGGCCGCAGCATCAGGGGCGTGGCTTCAGCATCAGGAGCGTGGCTTCAGTCCGCAGGGGTGGGGCCTCAGCCCGCCGCGGGTGGGGTGGGGGCCGTGGGGGCGAGGGCATGTAGACTGTCACCTAGTTTGCTTTTGGAACTAGATGTTGCAGCACTGAGAAAAGCCTGGCGTGCTCAGCTTTGTGTGTTTAAAATCATCTTATTTTCTGTTTCAGAGATTTCATCTTTACTAATTGGGTTTGCGGGGGTTTTGTTTATAAATTTCACTGTAGGATCATTTTAGCCACATTCAACTGAGGAATGCAGCTGGAATGGATGACAGAGGAAATGGGATGTTAACCAGGTGGGTGGTTTCGCCCTGCTGCCAGCTTGTGGGGTCTCAATGGGTTTCTTTCTTTCCTAATGAGGCCCTCTACCTTATTGAGGCTGGGGGGTCTGCTCTCCAGCTGTGCTTGGTTGATAACAACATAGTCTGGAAGTGCAGGAAAATACCTGCTCCAAAGGAAATGAAGTTAAACCAAATGAGAGTGGTGAGTGGGCGGGTGATTAGCCCGGATGGGCGTGGTGTGGTCCAGGAAATGACTCCATTTCCAGGAGGGCCTGGGGGGTCAGCCTGCCCCCATTAAGTAACAGTGGATGAGGCAGGGCGGGAGGAGGGAGAGGACGCTGCGTGGGCCTTGCACACGTGCCTGACACGTGTGTTCGTTCTGTCACTGCAGGTACAATACTCAGAAGCTCACTGAGCTGATTTTACAGTTTCATGGCATCAGAGCAGACATGAAGAGGGAGTACAAACACACCAGGATGTCCATGAAAGTATCCCTTACTGTTAAGACAGCACCTGATAGTCTGAGGTGGCCGAGTGACTAGGAAGCCACCCCTGTAGCACCTGTGGACACAGACACCCCTCTAGAACTCACAGCTCTGAGATGCCCTGCCCATGAAAGCTGCGGGCTGCATTTTATTTACCATGCATTTGAATTCACATGGAGGACCTAGGTTATAGTGGGGAGAAGCCTCTAAATATTCAGGGCACCCCAGCAGGTCACCTTTACATTGAATTCTACCCTGCTGGCTTCTGCAGGAAAGAAAAAAAAAAAAGTGAACCATGTCTTCCTCCCTGCCTCCGAATGAGAATAGGCCTCGCCTCTTCCACAAGGTGCATGCTCATTGGAAAGTCATCCTTGCGGCTTTTACGAGTAGGAGACTTTGAAAGTGGGAGCCGTAGGGTGGAAGGTGCAACTGGGTTTGCCGTATGCTCGGACGGTTATTACCTCTGTGGTCAAAGCTCACTATAGCCAAGTCAGTTTCTGACAACGTGTTTGAGAGACATTCCAGCAGTGTCCTGTTCTCTGCTGCTGAATCCGTTTCTAGACCAAGGCAAATGCGTCACCGTCGGGACCTCACTGCTCCCAGTGTGAGGAGGTGGCCAGACACAATTTTTCCCTTCTCCTAATCTCCGTCATGCACTCGAACCACCTGAAGAAGCTTATGCTGTAGGCTTCTAGAAATGTAATGTCACGCAGAGGCCCCCAGAATTCTCTTCCAATAAGATTAGAGCCCCTGTGCTCCCCCTTGTGAAAATTTGAGGCCAGTGACCCCCCCACAGCATCCTTCTAGTAAAGCAAAAGATGGTAAATCTGGCTCCAGTCAGCTCCAGTAGTTACTGTAAAGGTTGTGTTCTGAAGCTAACGATGCAATTTGGTGGCAGTTCGGGGAGTCTATGGTTTTCTGGTGGCTGTTTCTCAGTGACCCACCAGCAGGGATTGCTGTGCCCTGGCAGGCTTCCGAGGTCCCGCTGTCGGTACCCCAACAGAGAGCCGCTGTGGAATGCACAGAGAAGGGCGCAGGGCTGGCCTGCGAGGCTGTCAGGGAGACGTGACCTCGGACCAGCCACCCCAGCCCAGGAGTCTCCTGTCTGGGAGGTGGGGTCAACACCACCCCCTAGTGTGGCGGAGAAAAACTGAGAACATGGGGGAGCTCAATGGGCCCAGCCCGGGCCTCCACCTCGGGCCCCTTGACTGCTTCCCTGGGAAGCCCCGAGCTCCCCAGGTGGGCAGTGAGGCTGGGGTGCAGAGGGAGTGGGGTCCGTGCGATTGGGCCCCCTGTAACTGCCTCGCCTATCTCCCTCTGCAGGAAGGCCAGCCACGCTGGAGAAGCCAGGCTGCGGGCAGGCCCGAGCCCAGAGAGCGACTCGCTGACCCAGTTTGTCCAGCAGCCGGACATGATGTATTTTATCCTGTTCCTCTGGCTACTGGTGTACTGCCTGCTGCTTTTCCCCCAGCTGGACGTCAGCAGACTCTGATGCGCGTGCCTGGATAATAAAGAAGACTGCACCCTCACGGGGGCTGGGGCTCCTTTGACTTCTTTCCTCTGGGTTCTGAATCGGGCACCCAGCAGACGGTTGAGGACCCCGAGGAAACAGACTCCTCACCCCTCCCCTTTGCGTCCACGTGGCCTTTTCCTCTTGTGAGTCCTAAACGTGCTCTTCTGTCTGGCTCTGTGCAAAGCTCAGGTGTGTGCTGTGTCCCGGGGGCGCTGCTTCTGGCCTTGCTGGTGGGTGTTGAGCGTCTCACTAATACTTGTGTGGCCAGGGCCTGGCTTGCAGCTCGTGCCCCATACGGGTTTTCAAGGAATGGTCTGGGTTACCTCGCTGAGGAGCTTCCCTGGTGAGGAAGAGGGTACATGCCCCAAGCAGAGACTTCTGGGGTGAAACTGTCGCAGGGGAGTGGAGGTGCCGGGGCAGGTGGAGGTGCCGAGGCTGGTGGTGGGTGTGGTGTGTGGGCCTCACCCAGCAGCTGGAGGCTGCCCCGCTGGCTCCAGAAAGCACATCTGGAGGTGCCAGTAGGTGAGGAGGAACGTGAAGGCTGAGTGTATGTGGTATGTACTGAGCTCATACAGCTTGCAACCTTGACACCTGGGGGCACGGGGTGGTCTTGGGGGCCAGGTGTAGGATGCATTTTAAATTTACCTTTGCAGTGACTGCACTGAAATAGAGCCATGATTTTCTAACTTCTACCAGTGGAACCCTCCTTTCAAGTGAAATCTTAGGAGCTCTGTCAAGACGACACATTTAAACATTTAAAGCGGGGATACTGCTGACACCAGGGGTGCCCTGAGCACCACCCCTTTGGCATCCTTGGATGGCTTCTGAGCCATCTGTGCCTACCCTCCTGTTGCCCAGGCTGCCACAGAAACCCCAGGGGGTGTGAACACAGGGCTGACCTAAGAGGAATCCCTGGCTGGGGTCCACCCTGGACGTGGTGCCCAGGTGGGCTTCTGGAAAACTTCTCTTGAAAGCACTGCAGAAAGCAGCCCCGAACTTGCCATCGAGCTCACCCCCTTCCCTCTCCCTGCTGCTCTGAACCACACCCCCAGCCCCACCTGCTATGCTTCCTCCCCCTTCAACGCATGGAGCAGGCGGTACCTAGAAAGGCAGGAGGACCAGGCTGGCAGTCTGCAGAGTGCCCAGATGAGCCAGGTAGGCAGAGGACACCGCCAACTGGGAACGAACCTCCAGCACACCCAGGCAGCCTGATGCCCAGTCCAGTGTGGCCACCTCCTTTAGGGCCAGGAATGGAGCCCACGAGTATCCTGGAATAAAGGTACAAGGACTAGATTTCAATGGCCTCTTTCAAACCTAACCTCAGTTTCTAGGCCAACACTCAACTTTGGTTGTGTTTGGCTATTTTTCCCATGAGGAAATTTCTTCCGCCTTCGAGCGTGTCCACTACGACTTCTGTAATACCCCGGACACTGTAATGGCATGTCAGCTGGCCTTGTTCTTGCTTCCCAAATCACGTTTCTCTCTTTACTGGCCAAGGACTGCTCATTTCAAGCAGTGCAATTAGCCTGAATTATTTCAGGCGGTGGGTTTCAGGTTGACAGGACTCTAGCGTAGCCAAAAGAACGTGCATGGCACATGCGAGCGGATGATAGCCCAAATCTAACCCATCGGCCCGTAGCCCGCCTCCTCCCCGAGGCTGTATGCTCGGGGAGCGTGTAGTCATCCGTCCTGAAGGCCAAGTGTCCCACGGAAAATGAGCTCATTAATGGGCTCCCTGGCTTCTCTGAAAGCTCAGGGTACAGAGAATAAAGATTACGTGTGTTATTTTATAACCCTGGACAACACGTGCTCCTCACCTAAATTAGACGTTGGAAGAGCCGGGGAAGAGCTGACCCGAACACAAATCATTTTGTTTTATGGCTTCAAGCCTTGTCCAGAAAAATCTCTGCAGGTTTCTTGTCTCCCCATTACACTATGTAATATTATTTAAAGCCATCGGTTGGCGAGATGCCTGAGAGTCATTGGTTCAGGTTGGCAGCAAACTGACTTTTTTTAAAGGCAAGAAATATTCTCTTGGGTATAGGCTTTATATGGAGGAAACTGGACGAAAGACACCTGCTACAAGCTGCCCCATGGCTTGTGATCTGTTTTTAAGAATTTAAATTCTTATCCAAATAATTCACGTTCATAATTGACAAAGCAACAAATTCTAGAAGGCTTTTAATGAAAACTAGCCACCCCCTAAATTTTGTGCCTGAAAGTAACGTGGTCACCTGCTCTACAGTGCATGTTGATATAAGGCTTTTCTTTTCAAATGAATTTAGAGATGTCAGCTGAGCGTCTGATGGTAGGTGAGTCCACCCTTACCCACTTTGAATTTGAGTACAGTTAATTAGTGATGGTTCATTTCCGTTCGTGTGAGTCTGACTATTGGCACCTGAACCCAGGGGTGCAGTGGTTGCATTTCCTTTCTTGTCACATTGTCACCCTTTGATTGGACTGGGGCAGGGGGTTGGGGGTGGGTGAGCACATTCTTTAATCACTTCTTGAGAAAGAGAAGGGGAAGTGATGCTTGCTATAGCTATTTTGAAATTGTGCTTAGCTTCAGTTGTCTTTGCAGCCCTTACCAGTGTGGCTGCACAGAGAATTGCAGGCAGAAAATAACCCTCTCAGCACTTGCAACTGGTGGTGAGAGTGCCGATGTTGTTCTCACTCCCACGTCTTTAGATGAGACTTGGGTGTCTCTACCCCTCCCCCAGAAACCTTGAAGATCCCTTTGTTTCTTGTGCCGTGGCCTGTCCTGGTGCTAGACCCTGGCTGTTTTACCTGCTGCTGGTTCTCATAAGGATGTCTTACATTTCCTTGCATTTGTTCACTTTTTTTCTTTCCAGACCACCTATTATTCCAATGTTGGACTTCCCAGCTGGCCTACGAGTTTTTCATTTTTATCTTTTCTTAGTCTCATCGCAATTTTTTTTTTTCTTTTAGGGAGAGCTGTTTGGTTCTATCATCCCAGGGTTATTTGTTGGTTTCACTAATTTTTTTTTTAATGCTTGGTGTTTGGGTTTAGCTTGATCTTTCATTTCTAAAGCATTTTCTTCTCTTCTGGTTTCTAGAATCTGTTCTTGTTTTATGAGTGCAGCCCTTCTCTTGCTGTGGCCCTTCATGAGGTGGGTTTAGGAAGTTCCTTTCGGCATCCTGTTCTGCCTTTGTTTCCTCCAGGTTCCCTTTCTCTTGATTAGCCTAAGACTCTGCCTTTCACGTTGCAAGTTGTGCTCAAGGATCTGCTGATCCTGTGGGTCTGTTCATGTTTAAGATGTTGACACGTCAGCCGTGTCAGGACTTGCTGCTGGGGTTGGCAGGTAGATGCTTTACCAGAAGATGAAGCAGATGTCTTCTCGGGGCTCATTGCATTTCTCTGGAGCTATGCCCACTTCTGCCTTGGAAAGGGAAGCACACGCGACCAGCCCATACCAAGTTCTCATGCAGTTTCATGCTCTCTTGGATGCCTTAGGGGAAAGGGCCCCCTCATGTCACAGAGCTCAACTGGCTGAGGACACCTTTTCCCTTTCCTTGAGGCAGACACAGCCTCAAGCCAGGCCTGGTCAGGGGAGCAAGCAGAGTCTGGATTTCAGTTCCCAGCTGCCCCCAGGCAGGGCATCCCGTACAGTGTACACCTCAGTGCCGAGCCCCGACCTCTGAGTCAGCGGCCTTTCCGTAGTCAGCGTTGAGACTCCTGGTTTCCATGGGCCGGAGTCGCTGTCCCTGGAGCAGGTCTGCTGCACCTGGCCACTCAGTGGCATGCCTCAAGGCACAGGGGGCGCCTCTGCCCTGCCGTAAATAGGACAGCATCTCTTGCCCACTGTCTCAAAGTTCTGCCTCTGTTCCTCTGCTCTTGGCCCCATGGGGTTCACAAGGCAAGAGATGGAATCCGTGTGTTCAGTGCACCCCTTAAGCCGTAGGTGCCACGGAGCTTTCTTGCCACTGTCAGATGGCCACCGCTCTGGTGACTTGTCTGTGAACTCAGTCTGTGGCCACGTCCTGCCCTGTGGTCAGCTAGGCCCTTGTGTGATGCAATGCCCAGTACAAGGGAGAGCAGAGCTGTCTGGGAGCCCCATGAGCTCCTGATAACAGCTCTGCCACCATTCAAGCCCTGACCCCCCTCGCCTCCCTCTTCATCTCGTGCCCACACGAAACCATCTCAGATTACCTGGCTCTCCACAAGCTCCAGTCAGTGGACTCTTACAATTCTCATTTCTGGGCCCCCTCACATACTTGTTTTTTTTTTTTTTTTTTAGATTTATTTATTTACTGGGGTACAGGGGTACTGGGGGAGGGATGAGAGGACTCACCAGACACAGAGTGCGGAGCAGAACAGGCAGATCCATTGAAATACACTGCTGAGGGGAACAGCAGGGGGCACAGGAGAGGTCTGTTGCTCCATGTGGGTCGGCTCCCTGGCCGGGACTCAAACTCCTGCTGTAGTGGTTGTAGATAGCTTCATAGTGCTGCACTTTAACCCCTTGCGTCACCAGGGGGGCCCCTCACTTATTTGTAAACCAGCAGTCCAGTGAGACAACAGGACAGCTCCCTGAGGGTTGGCTGCGGGGGCCAGACCCTCCCGGTCCGCCTGGCTTCTGTGGCGGATGTGCTCCCCACGGCTAAGAACGGGGGTCGGGGCAGCCACCCAGGACACGGGCTGCTTCTCCCTTTGTAGGCCTTAGCACATTTCTCCCCACCCCGTCCAGGCAGTGGTGGGGGACGGACAGAGAGGGGCGTGTGTGTGGAAGACAAGCATTTAGAGGCTGCCTGGGTGATCACGTAATGCCCCTGCACCTTGTTTCAGGAATAAGAAAACCAAAGATCGGCAGGTTAAAAGATGGGCCACACTGCTCGTTCTGTGCTCGGGAGACACCCCATTCCTGGTGGGGTTGTCTTCAAAGTTAGAACCTCTGGCCACTGCAGTGACCTGCACCCCCCTCAGCCAGGCGCAGGCAAGCGGGAGGGAGGGCAGACGTGCCTTGGTGACGTCGGGGGTCCCGGGCCGTCTGGTTTTGGCCCCTCCTTTGGTTTTGTCATTGCCTTCGGAGACAGGAGCTCTTGAAGGGGGGCTCCCACTTCCTCGGCTCTCCAGGAGGCCATTGACGCCCGCCGTTTGTGCTGGGAGACACAGCCCCACCGCACTCGGCTTCCTGAGGCGTCCACTGAGCTGTGTGCTCTGGCCAGGAGACCAGCACAGAAGGCCCTCCAGGCCAGATGTGCGTTTCCCTCTCCCTGATGTCACACCATCTCCACTGAGCCTGCCTGCTGGAGGGGTTTACTGCCCTGGGCCCCTGCGCAGGGCGGGCTGTGCCCTGGGCCCATCCAGCTGGTGAACGGGGTTGCTGGAGCATGGTCCAGGCCCCAGGGCCAGTGGGAAACTGAGCGCCGGCCCGAGAGACATCTCTCTCATTGGCTGCAAGTCG